CGACCAGCACGGATCAGCTCTAGGCATGACGAAGCGGATATCGTCCTCTTTTGGAAGACCAAACAAAGTAGTTTCGCTTTCACAACGAAACACACAGCGCCTTCACGACATGGCGGCGGCAGCAACAATACTACAGCGAGAATAAAAGTTACGCCTTCTTTCTTTGTGTGAACATTTGGGCGGCGTTATGCAAATCTTCCCACATCGTGACGTAGACAGGCGTGTTAGAACGAGCCGTTTTAGGTAGGCATGGTTGACTCTTAACTTTTATAAAGAATATCTCTTTGGATTTGAGACTTTAGTCTTTGCAACTTTACAGATCTTCTTTATGCACCAAGAGCTTGTAACACTCCAAAGAGAAAGGAAAAATTGAAATCGCATCATATGACCCCTTTAACTAATGTTACAGAACAACTTCAGCACTTAAGTCTAAAACAACAATTTCACTTTTGTAAAAAAAATAAAAAATAAATGTAACAAAGACATTGTTCATTTAAATTTTTTTATTAATGCTGTTTGTCACACCATATGCTTCATAGCAGGTAACTTACAAGGAGGTAAGAGTCACTAAAAGATCAGATTTATTGGCAAGTATATTCGGGGTGCTTCAACCGGTGTCTTTTGTCTTATATAATTTTAAATATAAAAAAGAAAAGTCTGTGAAAACATTGAGTTTCAAGTTTTCTGTAAGACAACTTTACCAACTCAGTTTATTGACATTTTAAAATGAAAAAATGTTGCCTTAGTTTTTATTAATATTTTTAATAATTTTATATTTTCCATTTCATTTTAATTGGAAGGTTTTAGTAATTTTGCTATATATATATTTTTAAGCAGTTTTTATTATTATGTTTATATATTTATAAATTTTTGGTTCAGTTTTCGTTGTTTTAGTACATCAAGTTAAACTAAATGAAACAAGAAGTGTTGCCTTGGCAACTAGTTGAAATAAAATACAAAATTTCAGTTAACTTATTTTATTTCAAGTAACATTTTTATGGTTTTAGTTTTAGTATATAATAAACCTGCTATTGCCCATATCTCTTTCATTCTTATGTCTCTCAGCTGTGAAGCACATTGTTCTTCACATGTATTTGCTGTCACACAGAGATTGTTTGGAGTTCCTGTGCCTGTCCTTCAAACCCCTCCAGTGACTTTGACCTTTGGAATGTGTCAGAGAGCGGAGGGGGGAGGGGGAATGTTGTGCACAGAAATCATATGAGAGTATCCGAGTGTCCGAATGCGTGTGAAGATTGAGTGAATGACAGTGAACAAGACCAGAGAACGGGTGCATGGGAGAAAGAAAAAGGAATGTTTTCTTCCTCAGTCAGCATTTTGTGCCTAACGGTGTGGGTGGTGAGGTGTAAATCATGGATACGGTGTAATACACAGATTATTATAGTGTACAAATCAGCCCTACAAGAGGTTTATTGACATTGATCAGGACAGACTTAAAAAATTATTATTATTTTTTTTTTAAACAAACAAAAGAGAGATAAATCACTTTGCAAGACCTGATGCTGAGATTTACAGCTAATGTTACATCTGATTAAAAATGGCATTTTTTGTTAGATATCTGCGATGCTTTTATGGGAAGTTTAATGTAGTTTTAGTTTCGTGAAGATGATGTGGTTCAGACTAATGGTGGTTTCGGTATTATTTATCATTTAGCCACGTGATAGCATTATGTGTCTCTGCTGATGCAATCCGATCTCTAAGGCCTTATTTTGTAATGCATAGACCTGTCATGTATATTCAGTCTCATACATTTTTTGATGACTGACTGATTTTCTCTTTCTTGCCAGGGTTCCTGATGCCCAGTTTGAACTGACCTGTAGTCTTCTGACACCAAAAGAAAGAGAGGTTATTTAGTATTCACAAGACTAAAGACCTTTGGCTTTTGAGCAAAAGGTAAGCTAATAGTTGTAAATATTTTTTCTCTTATTTTTATTCATACTCTATGTATTTTTTTTAATCATATATTAAAAATGTATATGGGATATGAATATGGGATCTACAGTAGCAGTACGAATTATAAAACACATAGATCATATATCAATGTATATAATCCTAGATCTGTTTATTTGAGTTCAGACCTGTATTTTGAGTCGCTGAATTTCTCTTGACCTTTTCTCTCTCATTGCATCAAAGTTAACATATCTGCCTTGAGCTGAAGAAAATCAAACGACTTGCCTCAGTGCCTCATTCTTTGCCCTTCGCTTACATTATATTATGAAATAATCAGTCACTAATGCTTAAGGTTTTTCTTTTCGTCAGTCATTATTGCTTGATTATTTGAATATATTTAGTAAAAATGCGTGGCTGCAGTGCTGAGCAACTCTCCTCCCTCCTGCAGGCAGCTTGTGACTCATGACACGTTTGTTGGGGGGAAAGTGAAGTTCAAAGATGCACACTGCTAACTAAACCAAGCTTATTCAGGCATGTTTATGGGAACATAGACAGATTGCTTTGTGTTTGAAAGCTGGTGAGTCAATGAATAGCTATTTTTGGATACATGTTCTCCGGTAGAGACGTGTGGAGGTGGGACGTATCTTCAATGAGTAAAGGTAAGTTAGCGAAAGCTAAGCTAGTTTGGCTTGTTCTTATGAGTGTGGAGCAACACAAAGTTAAACACAAAAAATGACTTTTAAAACTTTTTAAACATAATGGAAAGGCAAAACAAGAATTCATACTCACGAATTCAACCAAGCATCAATCCTGTATGAATTTACTATAGGAGCTATACTATAGGAAGTGTTTGAATTGGTTGATAAAGTTACAAAATAGCACACTGAATATTGCCGTTTTCACATTCATATTAGCTATGTCCGACTCGTGAACGAATTGCTATTTTTGAGTCATCTTTTTTAGGGAACCGGACTGACTCGGTAAGAGCGGTTCTCGAGTGAACAACTCCGACTCTTTGAACCGAGAACCGTCGTGTTCGATTCGTAATGAGCGGAGAGTGATTTGATGATAAGAGAATTTGGAGTTGGATCGAAAAATAAGTTGCTTTTATAGCTGGATAGCACAAATAAAATATATTTGCGATTCATTTATGATTACATAAATATGTTTACGATTTGATTGTATAACAGTTATATCAACGGTACGCAAACAAGCGATTTGGTTTTATTAAATGGCATTTTAACACGTTGCAAAATCTCAGTCAAGAAATGTAAATGGATGTTAGTTTAGTGTAAATAAACGTTACATTTAGACGTTGTTTTCATGAGTTGAATCATGACTGCAACAAACTGAACTGAGGCATATGAATTGCAATAAGCTCCCTTATAATCAAACTTAATAAACAGCAATGTGCCTACATACGGCCAGAGGCGGACAGTAACTAAGTACATTTACTTGAGTATTGTACTTAAGTACACTTTTAGAGTATCTGTACTTTACTTGAGTGTTATTTTTTCTGGGAACTTATGAGTTTAACTTCACTACATTTGAAAGACAAATATTGTACTTTTCACTCCACTACATTTCTATCAAGGTCCTCGAAGTAGAAAGTCGTTAGCAGCTTTGAAAGTCAGTGGGTGATTTCTTTCTTCTCTAAAACCTCTTTTTTTCAGACAGTTTATCAGTAATCACTCTTGGGGCTACATGAAGAGCTTTCCCAGCATTTTTTGAACACTGCCCAGTTCCAAATATGATATTTATTTACAACAATTCAATAATAATAAGTTAATATTGTGGTTTATATTAGACACAATATTGTCTGATTTTGCTAAATTGTGTACGTGAAAATATTACCTATAAAGCTACAGAAGAACTGTTGTGCGTCTCCTAATAAAACACAAAAGGTGTTAGACTTGAAGCAGCACTGCACAGACTGTTCTGTGTATGATATCAAAGTACTGCAAGAGCGATTAGACAGCATTTTCAAAATCTTGCTGTTTTGATTTTTTGTTAAAGCATTGTTTCTGTTGTAAAAGTTATACAGCTACAGTTGTGTTGCTGGGTTTTAAAGCAGGTTTGATTTTTCTTTTTTTCTTATCACTCTGTATTAACAGGATTTCACCGTCCACTCTGTTCAAATGTGGATGAATGGCTACACTTAGATGTGTGCACACACTGTCAGAGCTGTGAGATCACTACCATCCTGCTTTTGTGGGGGTGGGTAGGGTGTTAATTTTTCCCCCCATAGGTTTTTAACATTCTAAAAGCTCTTTATTCCAAAGATACTACAGGCTAGTCAGTGTATTCAGTAGGTGTAATGTATTGTAAGTTGCTTCAGAAGTATTGCAAGGATTACATACAACATTGACATAAAAAAGGAAATTTACTTTTGCTACTTAAGTACTTTTAAAAGCAAGTACTTCTGTACTTTTACTTGAGTAAAAATCTGTCTTTACAACTTTTACTTGTAATGGAGTAATATTTGACCAGCAGTATCTGTACTTTCACTCAAGTAATGGAGTTGAGTACTTTGTCCGCCTCTGCATACGGCTTTACTGGAGCGTTTTAGAGCAAAAAATATGCCGCGCCGAGATGACAGGGACCACGTGATTACGTAATAACGCGATGACTCAAAAGAGCCACTTTTGAACCGGTTCTTTGGAACGAACTGTTCGAAAGAAACGACTCACGCAAATGTGTTGGACTTCCCATCACCACGTCAAATTTCAAACAAGCTCACCGTTTAAAGTCCTTAATTTCTATGTAATGAACCGAATCGGATGTCGCACATCGGTGAACCCCTGCGGGAGAGACGCACGTGTGTGATGACGGTCGTTGGCACCACATGATCAGTTTGCCCCTTTTCCTTTGTAGTCTGTCATTTACATGTGTTTGAACAGGAACGTTCCTCCATCATCCGGTTCCTTCACCTTGATGAGGGATTTGGAGATCTCAGCTTGTCCTCAGGATGAGCGATTGAATCCTTTGCCTCCTGTGAACCGCGGCGCGTGTCCTCACTGTAGCCACGTGGTCATTATTAGGTTCCCTGGAGAACTCCAAGTGTTGCAAAATACTCCATGAACAGGGCAAAACTAAAGAATGAGAACAAGTGACTTGTAAACTCTACAACTGTTACTGTGGATTTGCTTTAACTAAGAAACAGTTCTCTCACGTGTTCCATGTTTATCATACAAGCGGTCTTTTCTGTTGGTATAGGTTAAATTCAAAGTTCGGTTGTTATGCAAGTGTGGCAGCATGAAAAGTGTTTGGCAGAAAGTACAGTGTACTTGGAGGCATTGGGGCACAAGTTGCAACATAGCGCACACACAATCAGGTGAAAGGGGAATAGTGTGTGTGTGATGTCCGCCTAGGACAAGCAGGGTCGTCGCTAGGAATTCTGGGCCCTCTGCACTGAATTTGCCATGGGGCCCCCTCTAAATCGTGTTCTAGGGTGTTGCGGGCCCCACAGTTCTCTGGGCCCTAAGTACTCTGTCACCAACCCCCCACCCACCCACTAGCGACGCCCCTGAGGACAAATGAGGTAGAAATGTAGCTTTTGACCATACTATGAGTGGCAGATATTGTATAGTCATGATGTGAGTCAGTATTTGTGCATTAAACTATGTATAGTTCATACAATGAATGACTAGTATCTGAATCAGGAAGTCCACAAACCCTGTATTGCTTCAATAATCACGAGGAGCAGATGTCATTGTTGGTTGTGTTCCCTACTTGGCAGTCATTCTGCTTCTTGAGTAATTTTTTTTTATGTGTTAATGCGATAGAACATTTCTCATGAAATGCTTAAAATGGCAAGATCAGCAAATTTAAGAAATGGCATGATGGGTCAGTTTGTCCCTGAGGGGGGGTTTATGAACCGTGGGTACCTTTCAGAGTCTGTAGGGCATCATTTGTGGAGGTATAATTAGAGGATTGGTTCTCTCTCCTGGATTAATGAACCTAATCTGGTGTGGGAGGAGGCCATGCCACTGGGATTATGGACAGATTTGTGCAGAATTCTGTCATGTCCATATGTGTGTCCTGCTCTCTAGGAGAACCCTTGTAATATATCTTCATTTATTTGAATTGCTATATGTGATGCGTGTAGATCTTTTCTTTGAATGGCTATGCATAGCAACACTTCAAGGTAATTTATTAATACTGAACCCATGTATTCATACCGGTTAAAATGCTCCGTCTGAATGTATTACCTGCTTGGAGCTGCTGTTGTGACCGTTTCGAGGACTTTCTTACATTGTCCTCTCTCTTGGGTACCGCTGGGATGTTTGATTAATTGTAGTAAATTGGTTTGTTCGGTGGTTTCCGTGGAGAAAACAAAGGAAACAGTTCACAGACTTCCCAACATAACGCTTGAGAGAGTGAGAACATATAGGTGCTTTTTCGTTGAATGCTGTCTGCTTGCTCAGCATGCACCTGCGTGTTAACTGAATGGAAGGAAGAGCAAGGATTACTGAAAAATAAACAGCAGTTTCATAATTACAGAAAAAATTCATTTGTGTCATTTATTGCTTCTTAAAATTTCTCGTTTAAAGGAGGTTTATGCTGAGTTTACACTGTAAGGCCTAATGCACATATTCAATATTTATACACACATTGTTTTTTTTGTTTTTTTGTCCTGCCTGTTTACATTCTCTTAAGACAAACCGATTGTTTTTGCATTATGACCTGCCAAGATGCACTAGGCTGACAACAGCAGTCTTGGATTTAGTTTGTTTTTTGAGTAGTAGTCCTCACAAATGATCTTTTCCATTAAGAGGTGATATTTAAACCTCAGCTAATTTCCATTGTTGATTTCTGACCCTGGTTGTTCTGTGATATTAGATGCATGTCTTCAATCTGATGATTAACCTTCAGGATTCACACGTAGTAATTCCCATGCATTCATTTTGATGTACATGTCAAATGTCTGAAAATCAGATACATTATCTCACAAAAGTGAGTACACTCCTCACATTTCAGCAACCATTTTATTATATGTTGTCAAGGGACAATACTATAGAAATGAAAATTGGATATACTTTAGACTAGTCAATGTGCAGCTTGTATAGCAGTACAGATTTACTGTCCTCTAAAAATAACTCAACATACAGCCATTTTTGTCTAAATAACTGGCAACAAAAGTGAGTACACCCTTAGTGAATATGTCAAAACTGTGTCCAAAGTGTCAATATTTTGTGTGAGCGCCATTGTTAACTAGAACTGCCTTAATCCTCCTGGGTATGGAATTCACCAGAGCTGCACAGGTTGTTGCTGGGATCATATTCCACTCCTCCATAATGACATCACGGATCTGCTGGATGTTAGACACATGGCGCTTCTCCACCTTCCGCTTGAGGATGCCCCACAGGTGCTCAATAGGGTTCAGGTCTGGAGACATACTTGGCCACTCCATCACCTTCACCTTCAGCTTTCTCAGCAAGGCAGTTGTCATCTTGGAGGTGTGTTTGGGGTCGTTATCATGTTGGAAAACTGCCGTTCGGCCCAGTTTCTGAAGGGAGGGCATCATGTTCTGCTTCAGAATGTCAGAGTACATGCTGGAATCCGTGTTTCCCTCAATGAACCGCAGCTCCCCAGTACCAGCAGCACTCATGCAGCCCCAGACCATGATGCTACCACCACCATGCTTGACTGTAGGCAAGACACAATTTCCTTGGTACTCCTCACCAGGGCTTCGCCACACATGCTGGACACCATCTGAGCCAAACAAGTTGATCTTAAGTCTCATCAGACCACAGGACATGGTTCCAGTAATTAATGCTCTTGGACAGGTTGTCTTCAGCAAACTGTTTGCGGGCTTTCTTGTGAGCCAGCTTTAGAAGAGGCTTCCTTCTGGGACGACGGCCATGCAAACCGACTTGTTGCAGTGTGCGGCGTATGGTTTGAGCACTGACAAGCTGACCTCCCGCTTCTGCAACCTCTAAAGCAATGCTGGCAGCACTCGTGCGTCTGTTTTTTGAAGCCAGCTTCTGTACCTGACGCACAGCACGAGGACTCAACGTCTTTGATCGACCCTTGCGAGGCCTGTTCCGAGTGAAACTCATCTTAGAAAACCTCGGTATGACCCTGGCCACTGTACTGCAACTCAGTTTAAGGGTGTTACAGATCTTCTTATAGCCTAGGCCATCTTTGTGGAAAGCAACAATTCTAATTCTCAAATCCTCGGAGAGTTCTTTGACATGAGGTGCCATGTTGAACATCCAGTGGTCAGTATGAGAGAATTGTACTCAAAGCACCAAATTTTAACTGCTCTAAAACAAGATACACAAATTTGTATGGTCCTGTCAAGCAGACAAAAACATGAACATGATGAATAGGACATGTGGCTTTGCCTTGTTAAACGACATACAGCTGTTATCACTTAGGGTGTACTCACTTTTGTTGCCAGCTATTTTGACAATAATGGCTGTATGTTGAGTTATTTTCAGAGGACAGTAAATCTGTACAGCTATACAAGCAGCACATTGACTACTCTAAAATATATCCAAGTTTAATTTCTATATTATTGTCCCTTGAGAAGATACACTAAAATGGTTGCTGAAAAGTGAGGGGTGTACTCACTTTTGTGAGATACTGTATATGTCCGATTTAAAACAAGATTTTGAAAGTGACCCAAATCAGATGTTGAAACATCCAGTCTCGACCTTCAAGATGATGATGATGATTATGATGAATTTAAAACTGAAAAGGTCCCTCTTTTTTCCTCAGTGTCTCACATTTTTTTCTGCAGGTATCATGTCTTCCAGAGAGCGACGCTCCGACTTGTACATAAAGGCTGAACCCAGCAGCCCCGATGGAGGAGGTGGTGGTGGCGGTGGGAGGACCAGCCCGGGAGGAGCGTCCTCAGACTCCTCTCAGAGTGGAGGAGGGGGATCCAGAGGAGAAAGCGCTGGTCGCTACTCCCCGCCCCCTTACACGCCTGCGTTACGTTGCCATTTTAAGGAGGAGGCTGCGGATGGAGCCGAAGAGGGCTCTACCGGTAGCGTAGGAGGCCGCTGCAAGTATACACTAAGCACGCTTCCCAAAAGGCTGTGCCTGGTGTGTGGAGATGTGGCGTCTGGCTACCACTACGGAGTGGCTTCCTGTGAAGCCTGTAAGGCTTTCTTCAAAAGAACCATACAGGGTGAGCATGTCATGCTGCGTAACAGAGTCACTTCTCGTTACAGATAACTTGTAAGTAAGCCAAGCCCTGTAGTTGTGTGAATCAGTATTTCCTGCCCCCTGAGAGCCATCACCGCTGCGTCAGCCTCTTGGCAAAACAAGTCATATTTATCTAGAATTGAATGTGATGAGATTTAAAAAATTGTGTACTTTGAAATTATACCAAGAAAGCATGTTTTTCTATTGCATTGTTTTCATTAGATGCACACAAATAAACATATAGCATAACAAATATAATCTGATTTGAAAACAAATGTCTCCTTTGAGCTGGTTCCTTTTAATGAGTCACTTAAATAAACTCACAAGTTAATGTCTTGAATCGTTCTCAAGAATCCCTCAGCTCTTCACTGCAAAAACACACTTCTGTAGGAAACACTTTTTTTTTGTATAACATCTTCACCTCCATCCAACAGGTAATATTGAGTACAGTTGCCCCGCCTCTAATGAATGTGAGATCACCAAGCGCCGCAGGAAGGCCTGTCAGGCGTGTCGCTTCACCAAGTGCCTCAAAGTAGGCATGCTCAAAGAAGGTAAGGTGGCACCTGGCCAGCACAACCAGTCCTCTCTCTTATGATACCTAAGTACCTCAGTGTACAGAGTGATCCACAGGCAGTGCCAATATCCTAATCCTCTTTCTGTGTGTGGTGTAGGTGTCCGCCTGGACCGAGTTCGAGGCGGACGGCAGAAGTACAAGAGACGCCCGGAGGTGGAGAATGCTACGTACCAGAATGCACCAATACCTTTAAGGAAAGAGGGGGAGAAGGGTAATAGTAATAATAGAAAAATATCTATAATTTAAAATTGATGTATAATTTAATAAAAAAAAATTAAAAATGTTTTAATGAAATTTTATGGCCTGCAATTACTGCTGCATAAACATGATTTGATTATTCAGCGGAGTAATGTTTAGTTTGTTTCTCTCAGGCTCATCCAGCATCATTGTGTCTCATCTGCTGGTGGCGGAGCCAGAAAAGCTGTTTGCTATGCCAGACCCCCTGCAGCCTGACACGGCCCAGCGCACACTCACCACTCTCTGCGACCTGGCCGACCGGGAACTAGTTGTCATCATCGGCTGGGCCAAGCACATTCCTGGTAAGTGAGAGGAAGAAGAGGAACAGCAAGACTGTTGTCAAAGAGACAATGTCAAGGAAGCTATTCTGGGGTTGAGCTACCAGTTACTCACACTCGTTATTTAAGTTAAGCTAAAGTAAAACTACCACATAGTTCTGCCTGTCTCAGCCTTTGACGGCATGATTCACTGTCTGATTCATATTGCACATGAAACTAGAAAGTAATTTCTCGATCTGGTAAGCTCTTATTTGATTGGCTGACTAAGGGCACAAAGGGTTTTATATCAGAAAACAGTCAGCTCCCTAGTTCAGTACTCAGGGCACTGATCAGGGAAGCTGTCTCAATCGCAAAATCATTCCAGTGCACAGAAACGTTCACTCCCTACAAAGCACCATGAAAACCAGGGAGCATCAATGGTCGCCATGTTCCCTTAACAGAAAACCCAGTTTCCGACACGTGCTATACGTGGTAGACCAATCACAACAGACTGGACCATCTGACCAATCAGAGCAGAGTTGGCTAAGGGAAATAAGCGATTTAGAATCTTAGAACTACTTAGAACAAATCTTTGAGAATTGTTGGAAAATGAGGTGATATTAAATGCATATTTTGAGAAAACAAAAGCATTTTTTGACATTGCATGCATGTAAACCTATTGTAGGATACTCCCAAAACAATATTGGGAACCTTAAAAATGGTATAATAGGGGCACTTTAATCTATTCCATGCCACCCCTAAATGGCAGGTAAAAACCAAATGAACATTGTTTTCTTTTGTTTTTTCTTTACGTCTGTCAAGACAGTGGTAATTGTGGTGACGGAATAAGCTAATTGGCCAGAATAATTTGCACTGTGGACCAGATCTAATGAAGGGCTACTATTTTTCCACTAGAAATAAATAGCGTAATGGTATTAATTGTAGTAGCAAAGGTTCCTTTGTGCAAAAATTAGCAGACATTCTCTTCTTGAAATATCCTCTTTTCCTTTGTGGTACAAGTTATTCATCATGTTTACTCATGCAAGCTGTTGATCTAGGTAATTAAAGGGGTCATAGGATGCCCATTTTCCACAAGTTGATATGATTCTTTAGGGTCTTAATGAAAAGTCTGTAACATAGTTTGGTTAAAATTTCTCAATGGTAGTGTAAAAAAATTTAGCCGCATTCATCGTGAAACTTGCTAATTAGCACTTTATTAGGAAAGGCGATTTGCAAAGCTTCATTACAAAACAATATACTCGTTCCTTCTGTAGATGAGGCTGGATCATGAATGATTCGCACGAACATAGACGCATTTATGTAGATCGGGGGCGCATTCCCTTCAGAAACAATGTAATCCACTGCGAGTTCAGCGGCTCAGATGTCGGGAGTAAATGACAACTGCTATGTTCATTATTACATCCAACAACAGAACACCTCAATCGCTTGTTAGGAGTCATTCTTGTCTACATCTGCTGATCAATCACAGCTGTCTGTAGAGAACAGGTGCCTGAAGAAAGATTTTAATTGAAGGGAACTGGAGCAGGTGAGTCAGAGCTACAGTCAGAACGTGGAAGACTTTTCTCCTAATTGCTGTCTGAGTTCAGTCTTGGAAGGAGCGATTTCAACTGCTTTTGTCAGTCTCTGGCTATTTTCAAGACCTCTAAATTTAGAGCACTATTGTGAGTGTCCACCGTGCCTCGGTTTTCAACAACAACTCTTATCCTGCTCTCTGCACTCCACATAACACTAGATCTGATTGTGGGATTAACAGTGCTGACAGAGTCAAACAGTTGAGAAATGTTCAACTTTATGCAAATAAGTGGCGAAAACTAGTCAGTCTCTATGAGGTGAAGGTGGTGACATCTGTCATAAGCATTTCTAAATCTACCGACTGTGCTGGAGATTCACATTGTTACATATTACTATATTGAATTAAATTCATATTTCAAATGCAGTTTCTCAGAATCTCAACACCAATTTCAGTACCAAGACAAAAATATATTCATATAAAAATACAGTATTAATAAAAAAAAACTATAGCAGTATTAATATCATGCAGCCTATCAAAATTAACTGTTAAGTGGTTTTCTAATATTTTGACACCCATCTGATTTTTTTTGACCAACCTTTTGCATTCATTTAAGACGAGGCATCTGTGTGCATTTTGAGCTTGTATTCTTCTTCACCAGTGGACATGTAGCGTTAACCTCTACTTTTTTTCTCTCGCTCATCCAGGCTTTCTCTCGCTGTCACTGGCTGACCAGATGTCCGTGCTGCAGTCGGTGTGGCTGGAGGTGTTGGTGTTGGGGGTGGCGTACCGTTCTCTCGGCTGTGAGGACGAGGTGGTGTTTGCTGAGGACTTTGTGCTGGATGAGGAGATGTCTCGTGTGGCCGGTCTGACTGAACTCAACGCCGCCATCAGCCAGCTCGCTCGCCGTTTCAGGGTTCTGCAGCTGGACCGCGAGGAGTTTGTCATGCTCAAGGCCATCGCACTCACCAATTCAGGTGCACTTCCTGTCAAGATTTTCCTATTAATGACTCATTAATTCCACAGTCTATATTTTGTTCCCTTACCAACCGGTTACCTTCTGATCAAAACCGGCATGACCCAACTGAGTCACCCAGTAATTAAGACCAGAACGTATTCTGTTTTGTGTTGTAAACGTAAATTTCTCTCTTGAGAAACTTTTGATTACTGTAAATAATAAATTCAACCCCTGTGTCTGCTTCACCCACAGAATTTGTAGTTGTTATGCAAATACTGAGAGTTGCATGCTTTGAATATTGAACACACCTAAAAGACCTCTTCCTTACACCTCACATATCTGTGTGTACATGATAAACATTGACCCCCACCAACAGAACTATTCATGGGCCAGTGACCTTTGGCACACGTGGCAAGGGTTAATTAGCAAGAGAGATTCATATTATATGTTTTGGATTTCTTTAATTGTTGTTACACAATTGCATTTGTAATTTCTAGCATTAATCCTCATAAAGCTGTGGCCACATTGGAGCATGCAGAACAAACAGGATGTCACGCTCTAGGAATCCTTTTTAATAAATCACAAATGATAATACATTCAAATGTGAAAATTTATACTAGCATTATTATATAACATAGTAAAAAATATATTTATATTTTTATTCAGAAGTTGAACTGAATTTACAGTACTGTTTTCAACATTGATAATTAGAAATATTTCTTGAGAACTAAATCCACATGTTAGAATGATTTCTGAAGGATCATGTGAAACTGAATATTGCAGTAATGGCTGCTGAAAATTCAGCTTCTCATCACCGGAATCAGTAGCATTTTAAAATGTGTTACAAAACAGTTACACTGCAAACCTGCAGCTGTGTTCTTTGAATTCAGCCATGAGGTAGATCTGTGATGTTTAGGTCCTCTGTTGGTCAAATGGCTTCGCTCTCTGCCAGTTCATGTCACCAAATGTGATTTTTTCTGGGGGGGTTTACATCCACATACTTTTATGCAGATTTTGATATAATGCATACAATTCTGGATGGAAACACAAATATACAAAAAATATCCTAATTGCACATAAAAAATGTGTGCGCTCACTTGAGGTGGATAAATGTTTTATTTGAGTTCGAATGTACCAACCGGTTACCTTCTGATCAAAACCGGCATGACCCGACTGAGTCACCCAGTAATTAAGACCAGAACGTATTCTGTTTTGTGTTGTAAACGTAAATTTCTCTCGTCACCGTCTGCTTTGTATAAATTCATCCCCCACCCGGAAGAACCCATGAAACTTTTGATTACTGTAAATAATAAATTCAACCCCTGTGTCTGCTTCACCCACAGAATTTGTATTTGTTATGCAAATACTGAGAGTTGCATGCTTTGAATATTGAACACACCTAAAAGACCTCTTCCTTACACCTCACATATCTGTGTGTACATGATAAACATTGACCCCCACCAAAAGAACTATTCATGGGCCAGTGAACTTTGGCACACGTGGCAAGGGTTAATTAGCAAGAGAGATTCATATTATATGTTTTGGATTTCTTTAATTGTTGTTACACAATTACGCATTTGTAATTTCTAGCATTAATCCTCGTAAAGCTGTGGCCACATTGGAGCATGCAGAACAAACAGGATGTCACGCTCTAGGAATCCTTTTTAATAAATCACAAATGATAATACATTCAAATGTGAAAATTTATACTAGCATTATTATATAACATAATAAAAAATATATTTATATTTTTATTCAGAAGTTGAACTGAATTTACAGTATTGTTTTCAACATTGATAATTAGAAATATTTCTTGAGAACTAAATCCACATGTTAGAATGATTTCTGAAGGATCATGTGAAACTGAATATTGCAGTAATGGCTGCTGAAAATTCAGCTTCTCATCACCGGAATCAGTAGCATTTTAAAATGCGTTACAAAACAGTTACACTGCAAACCTGCAGCTGTGTTCTTTGAATTCAGCCATGAGGTAGATCTGTGATGTTTAGGTCCTCTGTTGGTCAAATGGCTTCGCTCTCTGCCAGTTCATGTCACCAAATGTGATTTTTTTGGGGGGGGGGGTTTACATCCACATACGTTTATGCAGATTTTGATATAATGCATACAATTCTGGATGGAAACACAAATATACAAAAAATATCCTAATTGCACATAAAAAATGTGTGCGCTCACTTGAGGTGGATAAATGTTTTATTTGAGTTCGAATGTCTGCGCATAAAAACATTTACTGTATAAATTCATCAAAATGTCATATGACTGAATAATTTACTAATTGTTTTTCTGATCTTTCACATAAATGAACAACTTTGCAAGAGTGACACATTGGTTTTATTTAGAAATGAGGGTCTAATCACTTGTCGTCGTCGTCTTCCTCTCTTTCAGATTCGGTGTACATTGAGGACATGGAGGCTGTGCAGAAGTTACGGGACCTGTTGCATCAGGCTCTGCTGGAGCTGGAGGTGCAGCGACGCCCTGACGACCCCTACAATTCTGGATGGAAACACAAATATACAAAAAATATCCTAATTGCGCACAAAAAATGTGTGCGCTCACTTGAGGTGGATAAATGTTTTATTTGAGTTCGAATGTCTGCGCATAAAAACATTTACTGTATAAATTCATCAAAATGTCATATGACTGAATAATTTACTAATTGTTTTTCTGATCTTTCACATAAATTAACAACTTTGCAAGAGTGACACATTGGTTTTATTTAGAAATGAGGGTCTAATCACTTGTCGTCGTCGTCTTCCTCTCTTTCAGATTCGGTGTACATTGAGGACATGGAGGCTGTGCAGAAGTTACGGGACCTGTTGCATCAGGCTCTGCTGGAGCTGGAGGTGCAGCGACGCCCTGACGACCCCCAGCGTGCGGGACGACTCCTCCTCACCCTGCCCCTCCTCAGGCAGACCGCCGGCCGGGCCCTCACCACCTTCTACAGCATCAAGACCCGTGGTGGCGTGCCTATGCACAAACTCTTCCTGTGTTCGCTGTGAGGGAGAAACAATCATTCGTGCCACCTGCATTATATACTGTATGTGTGCGTGCTGCTGCCCCCGTGTGGTTATGTGCTGTATGACACCACACGATTGAACGCGACCAGCGGGGATTCAGCGCCATCGTGAGGGCTACGGTTAAGGGTTCACACTCGTAGTCTCTAAAGTTCTAGGCCTATTTTTTGTTGGGCTGCCGGGAGCCTTTTATGTTAAGTTTATAAAAAAAAACTGTTATTAAACAACATTTAACACTAAAATATCTATCCTTTAATGCATATGAAGCTGTAGATAAAATTGATTCTGTGACAAGAAGTAATATTTTTTTAATGCTTTTTAACATATTGTGTCACAAACAGTAATATATTGTATAAGGGTAATGATTGTTTTTTCTGGTGTTCCTCCGATATGTGAAATTTAAGACGGATGGTTTCAGCGGAAAAAAGTCATTTGAAAAAGTCTTTCAGGATGGGAAAATTGGTACAGCAGTTTCTCACTGCTGATTTTTTATGCTGTGGGGAGACATTACAATATTCCTATGACAAATGATATGTTCTGAAACTGTGCCAAGCCATTATTCCCATGATTATACAAGTCATTATGCCATTATTTGGCTACAGTAATTATTTTGTATTACAAGTTGCCCCATGTTCAGCATATTTCCCTAACTGAGTGTTCTGTATGACATTAAAATAATTTTAGGAATAAACCTGTATTATTTCCAGCATGATTAACTGGAACTCATATTGTGTTAAAGGTGTGAAAGAGGTAGTTCATTAATGTCTCTGATTTAGACCGATACCTCATTTCATTTGTAAATTTCCCCAATAAATATTACTGGTGTCCACTGCTAACAATTTCAAATTCGGGGCTCTCTGACTGTATATTGGTCTAAGCCCTCTTATTAAAAATGACATTTAAAAATTATAATTGGCTCCCTTGACCTGTGGGCAGATAGAATCTGTCCCCCATTTATCCTTGTACTTGCTGCTTCCCTGCAGACATATTTTACGAAAACTTCTAGCTATCAATATTTTTCCATATTCAATTTGTAGGTGAGATAATGCATTATTAAAAAAAAGAAGAAGTCATGCCTCAACCCTGTTGCCATCATATTTTCCCTTTCATTATTGCAAAACTCCAAACACAAAGAAAAAAATCCCAGTTGTTGCAATTACATCTTCCTCCTTCCAGAAACTAAGCTCTTAAAGGACAAATGAAAGGTTCTCTCTTTTTTATCACATTGTCTTAAGTTCTATGCTGTTATGTTTGTCAGCAGCAGTGGATGATCAACTCTGTTACCATGTTTATATATATATATATATATATAGTCAATAACATAATTTAAAGTAATATATTCATATATTCACATCAGCATTATAAATATCAGCATTAACTCTCTTTGTGAAAAGCATATAGTTTCATTTGACCTAGAGATCAAATAGAATCTCAGCATATTTTAAATGTGTGTAATTTATATTACTATGCACACAGCCCCCCCCCACCCCACAAAAGGAGGGGGAGGAACATAATTTAAAGTAATATATTCATATATTCACATCAGCATTATAAATATCAGCATTAACTCTCTTTGTGAAAAGCATATAGTTTCATTTGACCTAGAGATCAAATAGAATCTCAGCATATTTTAAATGTGTGTAATTTATTTTACTATGCCCACAGCCCCCCCCCCCCCAAAAAAGACAGTGAAGGTGTAGTAGTTTTTTTTGTTGTTGTTTCAGCCAGCATTAACAGTTAATTACTGTCCTAATACCAGTATATTATCTTTAATCGTGTAATAAAGTTAAGTTAATAAGCAGCGGGGCGGGAGGCGTGACCTGGCGGCTGGATGAGTGTTGTGTTCCCGCAGGCGTTGCTGAGCTGCTGTGTCAGTCGCTGCTGCTCCTATAAAACCCCATGATTTCCACTACATTTCTACAGAAAGGCTTCCGTGCCGCCCATTGCATTAGACTGCTGCACTCCACACGCATCGCCAGCATGCCGATCCAGGTAAGAACTGTAGAAGGACATCCAGAGACAGGACTGGCGTTAGCGTTGCGCATGACCTTGGCACTATTTTCGCCGCGCGTCGTCGAAAATAAACGCATTAGATGCTTCTGGGATACTGTGGCGGCCATGAGTGTTTCTATTACGCGCATTTCATAAGACAAGCACGGGTTGTTTTTCACTGGTGTCCGTGATGTTGCGTAAGCAGACTGAGATTTTTGTTGCGATTGTCTTTTCCTGATACTTATTCAAATGCGACCAGTTAAAGTCAGACATTAGTGAAGGGAGTAAATCATTTCCTTGTAGGCCTGGCGCACAACGCGAGTGAAGCGGCAGAACTAACGTTAATATTTCTGGAAACTCTTCTCTGCGCTTTTGATGAGAACGGGAGCGTTCGCGTTTGTCGCGTCGTGTCGCGTGTTTTCTGTGGAGATGAGTTCGTGTGACAGCCAGTGTTGGGGGTAATATATTACAAGTAACGCAAGTTACGTAATCGGATTACTTTTTTCAAGTAACTAGTAAAGTAACGCATTACTTTTTAATTTACGAGAGAATATCTGAGTTACTTTTTCAAATAAGTAACGCAAGTTACTTTTTTTTTTTCAATTTATTGATTGACAGCTCTCCTGTCCCCATGTTGAGAGAAATCAGAAGATGTTACTGTAGTTCAAAATAAATATGAATATGCATTAGTTCATCTCACTCACAAAAAAAAACATAGATTCAGTATTCCTAAAAATGAATAAAAATAATGCAACTCAGAATGAAAAGGCTTTTATATTTGCCAAAAATCAAACTTTTTTATTTTAAAAACAAACAAGCAAGCCCTGTCCAGATGTAAAAAGTAACGCAAAAGTAACGTAACGCATTACTTTCCATAAAAAGTAACTAAGTACCGCAATTAGTTACTTTTTTATGGAGTAACGCAATATTGTAATGCATTACTTTTAAAAGTAACTTTCCCCAACACTGATGACAGCATCGTTACTTCTATTAAAATATTATAGATTATTTATTCAATATTGAACTAATATGCGCAGCGAGAAGAAATGCTGTTATTTTGTGGCACTTAAGTTTATGCAACAACATGATCAACGAAACAATATAACAAAGATTTTCATACATTAGCAGACACAAGTGTCAGTAACTAATACGACAAAACATAAACGTTACTTTAGGAATTACGTAGTTATTATGCATGACCAAAAATGACGAGAAAAGAGAAAATAAATCAATACTATTTTACATTACATGCTCATTAAAGTATCCCTGTACTATCTAAATCTAAAAGAAAAATGAGTTTTCTTTTTTTTTATTTTATTATTATTATTTAAACTCTGTTTTAAACAAATTCTGGAGTTTATCAACTATTTGAGTTATTGTTAAAACGATCTAACCTAGTTTGTTTCTAAAAAAAAAAAAACTGGTTTGATAAATTCTATCTACCCTGTTAAAAATAAGACTGTAAAAACAGCAGCTGTGATTGCCAGAACTAAAAGAAATAGTAGCAACATTTTAATATTTATGGATTCAAATGACATGTTCAGTAAAAAGGTATATTTAATTAACTCGTTTAATATTAATATACCAAAGTACTAAAATGTATTGTCTTCATTTATAATATACTGGCAACCACCATAAAAACACAGGAAAGAGAAAGCCATATGATGATGAATAAAAGCTCATCATAAGTAGATGTAACATAAACCCTCTCTGTAAATTATTAATTACTTACTCTTTTTATTTTTATTTCCAAGAACTGTACATTTAACAGTATTTAACAGAAATGCCGTGTTAGATCTTACAGTTATTCATGTATTTGTACAGGTTTATCATTATTTTTGTCTTTAATATAATTTTTTTTTTATGTTTATTGCTGGAGAATTGCACAAATCTATTAAATTCAATAAAATGTAGTTTGACCCTTTCTAAGTTCAATAAAAACATTTGTTATATAAATACCAGGTCCTTGTTGAGAGTGAGTCATGACAGAGTTTCCAAGTATAAGGATAAGATCACAAGAACCATTCAGTCAAGTCAAGCGTGTCCAACTTTTTTTTTTCTGTGAAATTGGATAGTTTACTGGAACAGTTGTTGTCATCAGAGCTCTTGTGTTTGTGTTGCTGTGGAAATTAATTGACTCAATAATAAATAATGGATTAAGACATGACACTTTTTGATCAGTTTTATGTGCCTTCTGCTGCATTATTCATGCTGCTGCTTCGTTTTCTTCAGGTTGGTCAACATCTTCCCGATGTATCGGTCCAGGAGGGAGACCCGGGGAATAGCATCTCAATGGCCAAACTCTTCAAGGGCAAAAAAGGAGTGCTTTTTGGTGTGCCAGGAGCGTTCACACCTGGATGTTCAAAGGTATCAACATGGGATCTTCTGGCATTAAGATGTAACAAACTTCTACAACATAGGATCCACCAATTCATTTTCAATCTCAAGCTAATTTTTGTGGGGGGAAAAAATAACATTAAGCAAAAATACATGATTAAGTTCACTTCATCTAAAGCTAAAAGTTCAGCTAAATCCATATAACACATTAAAATATAAGAAAATGTACTGTGGCGCAGTACATCAATAATAATTTTAATGGCTTTTTAATGCATCACCACAAGCAATACAAATACTGTATAGCTATATGCATGTTAGTAATGGCCAGGCCTGAACTGAGACACTTAGTTGGTCCCTGAAAAAGTCTGAAGACCCCTATATAGTAAGTTTGTGAAAGAACTGTGTAATAAATCTAATTTGTAAAATAATAAAGTTTTTAATAAATGTGCACATTTCTCGTCATCCTATTATTGCAGTCTGTAACAGTGTCTTGTTTGTCTTTATTAACTTGTTTTCTCAGACTCATCTCCCAGGGTTCATACAGATGGCTGGGGATTTGAGAGCCAAAGGTGTGGATGAGATCGCATGCTTGTCTGTTAATGATGTGTTTGTCATGTCTGCCTGGGGAAAGGAGAACGGAGCAGACGGCAAGGTGG